GAGTCTCCAAGTGCTATTCAACTGTACAGAAGATTATTATAGATATTGTACCCAAACATGGACTGATACTTATGAACCAGTGACTTGTTCTTTCCGATGTGTGCTCCTAACGCAGGGGTCTGCAACCTTTTTGACCAAAAGAGCCATTTTGCCCCCTTTTCCAACAATTTGTTTTGTCTGGAGCCGCAAAACATATTTGATAGCTTATAAACAACAAAAAGAAAATTGCATTTATTATTTATAAAACTGTTAACCTCTAATAAGAAACAAATAACCTCTTATAAGGAAAATTACAAAAAATACACAGGCCTACTTTAAAATAAATTAAACACAGCACTTGGGTAGTCCTCTGCACATTTGAAGGAAAAAAAAATACAATTAAAATTGACCCACTTTGAAATAAATAAAACATATAGCTGCACCGTAAAAATAGTTTAGTGATTGAATTATGACTGAAGATCGTCAGCTGTCTTCCTCTCCCGTGTTGTTCCTCGATATGTAAAGGCTGCAGCACCTTTGACAACTTCTCTCTACATATCAAACATACCGGTAAACCAGCATCGTTTGCTGTGAAAGCAGATAACTCTGTCCAGGCAGAATTAAATCCTGTGTTCCTCCGGTACTTTTCTTTGATTTATCCATAGTTCGCTCATCGAGCCGGGGGTCAGGTTATTCACCTGCAAGAAAAGGCGCTGGTGCGGGACCGTAGCAGGATGTGACGCATATTTCAGTTGACCTAATTAAAACCGTTTTGTTTTTTATTTATGTGTCACCTCAAAATACAAGATATGAAACATTTTCAAACATGCAACAAAATGTAAATAGTCCTACAAATATTTTTATTTTATTTCCTTCTTATTTTTGTCCAAGCTCAAGGGAGCCAAAGCAGAGGGCTTGAAGAGCCGCATACGGCTCGAGAGGCGCGGGTTGCCGACCCCTGGTATAGTGGAATACCAGTTCACTGCAGACAGTCATTACTCCTCTCTGGTGTCAGCTGTTATGAAACCTGCTGCTTGTATTTTAACATGAATTCAGTCAGTATTCTTCCGGACAAGTTTCCGTACATCTTTCATGTTTTTAAGCCTCTTTCCACTCTAATCTTCTCTGTGATGTGGTCTGATGTTTTCCTCACAGGTGATGGCGACGATGACGAAGAGGGTAGTGAAGAGCGTCTTCCATCTTGTTACGACTACTTCATGCATTTCGTCACCGTCTTCTGGAAGGTTTTGTTCGCCTGCGTCCCGCCCACAGAGTACTGGAACGGCTGGGCCTGCTTCTTGTTCTCCATCAGCACCATCGGCCTCCTCACCGCCTTCATCGGGGATCTGGCGTCACACTTTGGCTGCACCGTGGGGCTGCGGGACACCGTGACCGCCGTGGTGTTCGTGGCGCTGGGAACCTCTATTCCAGGTGAGCGAATCCTCATTCGCTGTGAGGTGTAGAAGGTCATACGGGTGAAATATGGAGAAAGTGCAGAGACGCGGAAATGTTGTGTCCTCATAACTATCTATAGATTCAGTTGAAGTCTTATCAAACAACTCCCACCACAAATATGACCTTCATTTGCATAATAACAACTAAGATAACATCAATGGCTTATATCCTCAGTCACTCTCTCATGATGAGAAGTAGATTTTTCTGTGTGAAAATGAACATTCACACTGCAAACAAAACTGTAGCATTTGATTTGCAATGATTCACGTGCGCATATTCAAACATCATTTTATCAGCAGGAATGTTCATTCGGGGTCGATGCAACAGTTCCTCGAGGTGCATGGATAACTCTCACACCTCTTTCTCTCATTTCAGACACCTTTGCCAGCAAAGTGGCCGCCATGCAGGACCAGCATGCTGATGCGTCTGTTGGTAACGTCACCGGTAGCAACGCTGTCAACGTGTTCCTGGGGATCGGCGTGGCGTGGACGGTGGCCGCCGTCTACTGGAAAGTCAAAGGGAAGGAGTTCAGGGTGGACCCAGGGTCGCTGGCCTTCTCCGTCACTCTCTTCACCATCTTTGCTTTCATCTGCATGGGCGTGCTCCTGTTCAGACGCCGGCCCTCTATCGGGGGGGAGCTCGGGGGGCCAAGGAGGGCCCGCATCGCCACCAGCCTGCTGTTCCTGGGCTTGTGGTTCCTCTACATCCTCTTCTCCAGCCTGGAGGCCTACTGCCACATCAGCGGCTTTTAAAAAGGAGATGGAAAATGTTCTGAAAGAATATTGCACAGTGACACAAACATATACTTTAACACTCAGTCCATACAATACACAGTTCTACATGAAACAAGTGTGAGACGTTTGGAAGTGTTCCGGCTTTTAATGCAGGGATACTAAAACACTTCAGATACATATTCACACACACACACACACACACACACACACACACACACACACACACACACACACACACACACACACACACACACTATGTACGCATGTGTAAACAGATCATAACAAACACACGCAGGCAGTTACAGGCATGATCAAGGGCGAGAGGAAGTTTTAGTGAAGTGTTAAGGTTAGTGAACACAAGAGGTTACTGCAACAAAGTAAGAAGAGCGCAGACTGAGAGAGAAATAGTGAATGTGAAGTTGAGATTTTCGAGGTGAGAAAGGTCAGATGAGCCTCTGGAGTGCTGTCTCATTCTGTTCTACAGCCGGTGGGGTGGGTTGCCCTGTAGGATCAGACCGCTGATAGAGAAGAAACCTGTGCACATCAGACTAAATTTATCCATCAGTTGCATTGAAGGAACAACACTTAAGTTTCCTAAAAAAAAAAACTGCTCCCCCCCCATCTTTACTGGTACAGTCAACTGAGGAGGTGAAACGCTATCTGAAAAGGTGTGGAATGTTTACAATAACAATAACATTAAGTATGTTTACTACTGGAGGTTCTTATAAAGTGGTGATGCTGATCTAATACACTACAGAAGAACGCAGTTCTCCACACACGCTGTAAATAATGAAACCAGTGTACTGTACATATAGAGTGTTGTGTTTTCAGTAGGCAGATGATGCCTACCATTGACCAAGTTAGACAGGGAGGAAATATGTAGCTAATGTTCTCTATAATTAGTCATATTACAGAGAAAAGAAAAGAAAACACTACCATCAGGTCTCTGCTTCCACCTTTTTATATCCATGCAGAAGAAACACCACATATCCCAAACATTAAAATGGTGAACATTTTTGGAATCATAATATTAGGCAGTAAAAGTGTTAGCTGCCCAAACAGATGAATGCCACACTGGTGAAATAAAACAGCCATATCCCCTACATACTGCGTTCAAGTCAGATCTCTCAGATGTTTGTACACCAAACCAACAGATTGTGCATGTATAGCCAAATACAGACACACAAATAATCAAGCAGAAGTACTATGTAAAAGGAAACGATCAGAATACACCTGTAAATGACATCCCTGATGTTAAATCAGACATATAATGCTCACTTTCAGGTTTATACTGGCCTTTTAGGTTTCTATCTGAACTTGGTTACATGAGTTTTTAATGATATGTCCACTTTACCTGTATAAAACTGAGTGGGCAGGCACACAGGAGGGAGGAGAGGCGTTTGTTCTGAGGCAAACAAAAAGGGCATTTTGTTCTCCTCAAAGGTCAAATGTGTGCTGTGTGGAACTTGGTTGGAGGCTCCATCCAGACAGACTGAGAGGACGGAACTCCTTCAGTAATGTGGAGACAGACCAACCCATTGCTGCGGCATGTTTCCTTTACCTTCAGTGACAGCAGCACGGGCAGACAAACATGCATGGGTGGTCAAACAAGACTTAACAGTGTTAGTTTACTTTCAACAGTGAGGCCTAGAAGCTAGTACATTACAATATAGTCTTAAAAAAACTGACAAAACAGATTCCAATCGTCATCAAGTCTACAGCATAATGATCCACACACAAGATCCTAAGCTTCACTCAAATTAGGATGCAGGATGCCGGTCTAAACCACGAACATTTTCAAGATGGCACCCATACAATGCCTTAAGATACAATTCTCAAGTACAAATCCAGTATTCAAGCTTCCAGCTGTACAGAGCTGTACTTTATCTGATGTAACAGAAACACACTGTTTTCTTAGTGCAATTCAATACAAGTACCAGACATTTAATACAAGAACCAGACATGCTTAAAATTACTTTCCATTTTAATGGAAGGTGTGCACACTGTTTCAAAAGAACTTACTTGCAAACAAACTAAGGTCTATCATCTAACATTCTCCTGTTTACAGTCTGTAGGTCAGCAGCAGACAATGCTTTCCATTTTCAAATCATGCTGTCATATCCAAAAGATTTAATCTGCAAAGAAGCCGCAGTCTCACTTTGCATTTGAATCAAACACAGTTTCTATAGTCATAGTACCATAGTGTTGCCTGTTTTAGTGAATAAAACCTCACTGTCGCTCAGTAATGCATGGCAGAATTGGAACATACAATAAAAATGTTCATAAGCTTCTGAAGCTACTGGCTGCTATATAGACACTAAAATCAACTAGAGAAGTGCAAAACTGTTAAATCTAAAGTGGTATCGACACACCAACAGTTCAGCTTTATCACTTTCAACTTTAAGATACATAAAGCTGAGAGGTCAGTCCATGAAAAAATAAAGTCATAGCTAATGTAGCAAGAAAACCTCATAGTATAATATTAAAGAAGCTAGAAGCATCCAGAGTCCTGCATCCTTTTCTACATGGGGAGGAGTTGATTCAATATGGCGTCCCATCAAAGTTAACATTATATTTACTGTAATATTCAATGCTTAAAGGTAGGGTAGGTAAGAACGGAGAAACCAGCTCGAGTGCGCTAGAATTTGAAAGTATGCAGCCGAAACAAATCTGCCCCTTCCTTCAGACTTCCTTACAGAGCTCTTCTCCAACACACACGAACGCGCACATGACCAATGAGGGAACGAGATAAGTTTGTGCACGAGATGGAAGGCTGACAGGCAGGTAGGCCATCCAGTTATTTTAGCCAGGCCGGCTAAAATGATTGGTCTAGCTTTTTGCAGCGCCACGGCTTCCACAGATGACATTTTTTAATGTGTTTATTGTCAAAGCATTTAATATATTCATTGCTATCGGGATGTTAAGAGCATTCCATGGAATATAACAAAAAGTATTTCTGAAGTGAATTACCTACCCAATCTTTAATATCAGTCACTTTACATACCCTGCACTGTGCTGCGGGTGCATCACAAGCATTTCACCCACAAATGACAAGTGCTATCCAGGTGGAATTTGTTATATCTATTGTTCCACACAATAATATCAGAAAGATTGGATTTGTTAACCCTTGACTAACTATACTTTGTAAACTTTCTAAAACAGATTTTGTATCCTTTCGTTGTCAATATAGCTGAAGTACATTTTTTTGTACTTCTAAACAATGTTTAGAATGGCATCAATATATTACATACGATTGGTAGTGTAGATTACATCCTTAGTAAATTTAGTAGATTAGATTTTGATATATTTTCCACAGCGAGGAAGCTTCCCTTTGAACTGCTCCAACAGTGTAGTGTATTTTAACCACACATAATCCATCTAATTTACTCTATGTTTGTGTCTATGTTACTTATGGATAAGATTATTTACTTAGATATTTATTTATTTACAAGAAGATTATTTATCTATAGATTAGCTGAGCCGCAGGTCCTTGAGGCGGACAGTTTGGAGTTTAGTTCAAGGAGTGTGGTTTCAATGTGCAATACAGAAAACTATTAAAACACATCTCATGTCTTTAGTAGCTTTGACGAGAGGACAGTTCACATTTTCTTCTACTCCAGCGTTTGTTGTAACGCTCCGCCAATGTACATTTATCCATTCAGTTCTTTCAGAGGAGGAGTTTTGAGTCTTAGTAGCATGTTTACACGAAGAAACTGTGGAACATTGTGAGTATAATTGTCAATTGTGGGTCGTCATGAGCTAAAGAAGAACTTTTTGTTGATATTAACGGTGTCTGTGGGGCAGGTCAGTAGCATAGATCTACTCACTAAACACACACACACACAGATACACATACACACAGATTTGCTGGACTCTTGTGTAAGAATTATCAGCACCAACGGTACAGAATGTAGACGTCATGCCCTGTCCCTGCAGGTGTGGCTCAGCACCTAAACACGAACTCTACAATGTCCGGACAATGTTCCGTTTTTCCATGAACTTCTGAACTAACTGTCTGGCTTCGGCCTTTGCTGTTTTGTAGCTTGATGTGATGCCTCTCTTCCCCACCCCCTCCCCAGTTTGTGTCTGTGTTTGCTTCCCCTCCGTGTTCCTCTGCGGATGCATGTTGAATCCCCGCGTTTGTGTGATAGCAGCATGGTCTACTGTGATGGACGCCTATTGGCACACTTGTAATTTCCCGCAGTTTGGAATCGCAAACACCAGAGGCTCTCTGTGAAGTAAAATGAGCAAGTGGCACACATAGACTCTACTCCATACAGATGTACTGAAGATAACACACACAGAGGCATTTATGGGTCAGTGTCCACTGCTCACTTGTTTTGTTACCTTTAAAAGCTGTGAGAGCGGGCTAAGTCTGCAAGGAGCAACATCCCAGGTCTTCTTTTTGTTTGTTGGTGTACGATATTTCTGTGTCTGTGTTAGTGCCCCTCCTCTTCTTGTTCTCCCATGTGCCCCAGCCCCCAAGGTCTTGCTCTTCAATGTGTCTCTGTGAAGATTGTTCCTGTGATGATGAAAATGTCTCTCTCTGCCTGAACTTTAGTAGGAAAACAATGACTGAGTTACTCCGATATCATGTGATAGACATAAACATGTATTCAATACTGTAATAAATTATTAACTGAAGCTGATATATAAGTTTTCTTATGAAATGCATAAAAATAATATTTGAAAAAAACGACAACTTGTTTTTGAGATAATGGCATGAGGTCTAATGTGTTACCGAAAGATAATGAAGGTCTTTAATTAAGTAAAATGTACCTTATTTGAATATAGTTTATTTATTTTCAAGGCTTCATGTGTCTGAGTGTTTATTGTTGCACCAAATGAAGGAACAGCAGTCAAACCCAACATGTACGAAGTCTTTTAATCTAGCACCTGCACATCTGTCGACATTAAAGCAGGGACGCGGGAAGTCAGTCAGAGTTGGGGGGGGGGGGGTCCCACACACGAAATGCAGCAGATTTTTTTCTAATCAGAAGACGATTTATTGTTGATTGTGACGCAGCCGGGTAGCAATAACAATGCATTTGAACTTTATAGCGCCCACTGTGCACCGGATTGTATAACAAGAACAGATGCAGTTAACAGAGATTAAACAGAACAGAGAGAGAGAGAGAGAGAGAGAGAGAGAGAAATATATATGCGAGTTGCATACTCAGGGCCGGCCCGTAGCACTGGCTAGATGTTCGCCTAAACACGATCTGGGGAGGCGCTGCGCTGGCAGATCTGGGAGGGGAAAAAACCTTTTTGACCGTTGGTGCTTATCCTAATTTTCGGCCTTGATGTAACAATATTCATAATTAAGTAAATGTAACACCCTTTTCACCCCGGTTACACGTTTCATTTGCCCTGTACGATGGGCGCTGTGAGCATGGGCGCGGGAAGGGGGGTGCTGAGGGCGCTGCAGCACCCCCTAGCGGCAGGCAGGGGGTGCGTAGCTCCCCTGTCTGAATTATTATTTGACGGTTATTGCTGCTCCCGCTGTGCATAATCTGTGTAATATGTAGCCAATAAATTCCACATTGTTGGTAATATTTTGGCCTGCCCCGAATGTTTTTTTCTGTAGCCCCGGACAATTCTACCTCAATAATATAATACATTAACCGTGCTTTACGTGAACCTCATCAAGACACTAGAAAGGACGGCGGGACTGTAATTTCCCGTGTTCAGTGAATGCAACAGAGGCAAGACACCAGACCAATCAGAGAGTTGCATGGAAATAAAAGTGTGCTTGTGTCATTCAAGCTCGCTGCTCTGTGTGTGTGCGGAAATAGCGCATTTAGTGTGTGTGAGAGAGGGGGAGAGAGAGGGACCGGTGCCAGCAGCAGGGACCGTGTTGTTAGCATCTGGTTAGCTAGCTGCACTAACGGACATACGGAGCTGTTTGTTCCTCAACAAGCTGGAGGAGAGCTCTCCTCTCAGACTGAGAGGCTCAGGTGAGCTAAAGGACTCTCTGAGTGTTTAGATAGTTAACTTTAGTCTAAGTTATCTCAGTGGGTCTCAAACGGTTTGGTCAAAAATTATTCAAAAGATTATTTCCGCGGCACACCTTCATATGATCATTATAGTTATAAAAAAAATAAGAGAATAAAGGAAATACATTTATGAAATACTATATGGCAGTAAAACAAGAAGACAGTTTGAAAGGGGAGTGATTTGTAAAATATCCATAAAGAAAAAGAACATCTGCTTACACTTGTGTTTCATCTGGGTGTTGAGAGATGTATCCA